ATTTCATATTTCTTTAACAATCTTGTTTTCTAATCATTCTCTTAAACAAACACATTGAACCAACATTTTTATAATCACTTTCCAGATTATTCCACAATCTTATTCCTTGAACTGAAGTACATCGATCCTTCAAATTTGTTCGAATTTTAGGTTTTATAAACATCTCAAGTCCCTTAAGATTATATAAACTTTCTCTCTCAACAAAATATAACTGGATGTTTAAAGATATTTTAATGAGCCTTTTACATAATCTGCAAGATAGTATAATCAAACAAAGGAAGTCATAATCTCAGCTGCAGGGTGTTAGTGGTTCATTAATCATGTTTACAATAAAATTCCATGTCCATTAGTTTGTATAATTTAAAATCTGCACAGATTATTTAGAATAATCTGCAGCACTAGTCTTGAACTGTCCACCTGTAACCTGTTCCTCGGCTGCTTGTTCCCTTTAACCGCGGCTCCCTTCAGACACGGTTACGCTCGCTGGCAGGACATCCAGAACGACATGAGGTTCGCCATCCTCAACGAGCCTTTCAAGGGAGAGATGAACCGGGGCAACTTCCTGGAAATCAAGAACAAGTTCCTGGCCAGAAGATTCAAGGTTGTTTTATTAAACAGTCTGTTTTTATTTATTTATTTATTTAATTTAAAACCTCGGTGCATTTTCCCAACGCTCACTTTCCCTCTGCGTCCAGTTGTTGGAGCAAGCGCTGGTGATCGAGGAGCAGCTGCGCCGCGCCGCCTACCTCAACATGTCGGAGGACCCCTCCCACCCCTCCATGGCCCTGAACACCCGCTTCAGCGAGGTGGAGTGTCTGGCCGAGTCCCACCAGCACCTCAGCAAGGAGTCCATGTCCGGGAACAAACCGGCCAACGCCGTCCTGCACAAAGGTGAGCGCTCGCAGGATTCCGGGCCTGTTTGACCCGGTTCTTGCTTGGTTCTGACTCTCCTCTCGGTGCCGCTCAGTGCTGAAGCAGCTGGAGGAGCTGCTGAGTGACATGAAGGCAGACGTGACCCGGCTTCCCGCCACCATCGCTCGGATACCACCGGTTGCAGTGCGACTCCAGATGTCTGAGAGGAACATCCTGAGCCGCCTGGCGAGCCGAGGGACGGACACTCCGGCACAAACACAGCAGGTAAATATGCTCCTTTATCAGATATTTTAAACTTTTTTTTTTTAGTTTTTCATACAACTAACTTTAGTTTTCTTATTTCTCCTCTACCAGATGTCGCAGCAGTAGACTGAAAATCGTCTCTAACTTCAGAAACCACCCCCTGCCTCACGTCAACATTCCTGATTGGTGCACAGCAGAATGACGGACAGCTCGTCCGAAGCTTGAAGCCACGCCCTGTCCACCTTTCACCTCACAGACTTGACAGAAAAAAAACAAAATAAAAATTTCAGGAGGATGAAAAACGCCTCCAACCTCCCCCAACAAAACGAGGCCGTGGACAGAACAGCTTTTTTATTATTTTCTCCCATTTTTTTCAATTTCTGTATTAATATTATTGATATAATGTTATTATGTTTTTTTGGGACCTAAATAAAAAAATTAAAAACATTTTGTCTGATGGGTTAGGAGAAGATGGGCTCCAGAGTCTGAGGTAAAAACAAATCTTTAGAATTATATTTATTGGAGATATTTCTGCAGGAGGTGCTGCAAACGTTCCTGCTTTTTTTTTCTTTCTTTTTTTAATTTTATATCTTAAAAAAAAAATATCCAAACTCAGATTTGATGGAAACAATTTATTGAAGATTCCAGGCCGTTTTCTGAACATCAGCTTCTTCAATTAAATAATCTCGTTTCAAAGGAATGACTAAATCAAGCATTGATGAGTTTTATTCATTAACCCAAGTTTAGGTTGTTTTTTTTAATTGATGAAAATGTTTAAAAATATTCTACAAATGCAGAAATACCAGATTTGGATTTTTAACTCAGCAGCAGCTCAATATTTATAGTAAACATGGAGGAAAGAAAGGAGGATTCAGAATTAAAAAATGTGGAGAATAATTCTTCATTTTTAATATAAACCACCCTCACCAGTCTAGTTACACTTTWGTGCAGCTATAATCATGTTTAGTTGTAAAAATAATTGCTTTACAAAGACATTTCAATTTGACTAAAAGTGAATTTTCTGAAAATTAAAGGTGTTTATTCTAAATCAATTATAAAACAAGATTTAAGGATTAAAATCAAATATGTGGTTTATTATAACTTGTTCAAAGGTTTGCTTTAAACTTTCTAAAAACTGCCCTCAGTGATTTAATCAGAACTCAAACAATTCTGAATAAATAAAATAATTACAACAGATAATCTGAAGGAGTTACTGCAGCTTCATTTATCATCCTCTTCGGTTCAACACAACAATTTTTTGTGTGAATTCTGACTAAATTCTGCAGGAACTGATGAACAAAAAGGACAAAGTTATTGTTTTATTTGACTAACTAGTTTAAAACTCAACATGTTGAAATATAAGCAAATAAAAGATTTACAGTTTTGTTAGTGTTTTACAGGATTAACAATTGTTCCRATCAGCTCACCTGGAAATGCAGAAACTAAACTCAAACTAACAACAAACAGGAAGTTTGTGTAATAAAATCTGCTGCAAACTGTCCTGAATCACCAGATCACACAGTCCTCCCAYTGACCTCCCACTGACACCAGTACTGAAGGTGAAACCTGCCCGGAACAGAGGAGGAGGAGCACATTAAAGGCTGTGTGTCGAGGGTCCTGAGGAAGAGGAGGGCAGCCGTGCGTCGAGGGTCCTGAGGAAGAGGAGGGCAGCCGTGCGTCGAGGGTCCTGAGGAAGAGGAGGGCAGCCGTGCGTCGAGGGTCCTGAGGAAGAGGAGGGCAGCCGTGCCTCGGGGGTCCTGAGGAAGAGGAGGGCAGCCGTGCCTCGGGGGTCCTGA